TCATCTTCCAGACTTCTTTACTATGCCTCTATATTTTCTACGTTATCTTTAAGTCATTCTTTTTTTTTTATTAATATTAATGAAAAATTTCTCTTGTTAAATTCCCGATGCATCCATTTGTAACCATTTTAGTCGACACCTGATAGCCTTTGTTCTCAATCTGAATATTGCAATAAGCTGCTAACAATAGGAGAGTTTTGGTGAAAAGAACGATCATTAGTTGAATTCAGAGACATCTACGATAACTGGTATACAAGTTTAGTGTATGAGTTAGAAGCTATATCAAAATGAGATAATGTTCTTGCAAGAATTGGTCTGATTTCAATAAATTATCATCAACAACTATTGTAACAAATTTTAATCTTTCATTTTTTTTACCAATATCCATAAAAAAGAATTTCGATAAAAATAAACAATTAATTCGAATAAGTTAAATTATTGATCGTATGCATGAATCATGGATGAATGTCTATTTAAAACAGGATTAAATTAAAAATACTGCTTTTTCTGTTCATAATAGATGGATAAAAGTAAACTTGAATGAAGTACAACTTGGTATATCATTCCATGTTATTATTATTGATAGAGTATTAATAGAAAACCTGGAAATTCTCCTTGCTGACCCTAATATAGTCACTGATTTCCCAATAACTTTCTGCTCGACTGATTTCCCTATAAATTGATGAATCCTCAGGAGAACTGTCTTGCCCTGGTTTCCTCTATCTAAATAAATATCAACTACTCGATTGTACATCATTGTCTCTTATTAATTACCCATCTCTGTTATATAATTCCTTTGCTCTTCCTTTTTGTTCTTATTATTCTTTTATCGGGCTATGCAAAAATAATTAAATAACATTCATTGATAGAATAAAGACTTGAGAATAAGGAAGAAGAGTAGAATTAAATTCCCAAGCTATCAAGAACATTGATGGTATTTAAAATAAAATATTAAAATTGTTTAATTAAGATTCACTTCTGTAAAATATGCTTTTTATGTAAATTTGTTTTTGAACTAGTAAAGTGATTTTTTAATCCTCAAGAATTAATTACGAGTGTTTTCTTAACTGATAATGAATGCCCTGATAACCTAAATGATAAATTCACGAGAACAAAGTAGATAATATGCTAAAAGCAATTTTAGTTTTGTATTTGAAAGATTTAATTAACTCTAGATATCTTTTCATCATGATACAGCACATGTTTATGCCATGAGAGAATATTTATTCATTTAATTTGAAGGAGTTGATGTATAAAAGACACTACGATTACATGATGTTGAATATTTTAATTAAATAAAGTATTCAATTGTTTATAAACAATAATGAGATAATAATAAAATTATTTATAATTCTCAAAGAATAAAAAAATTCAAAATAAATTTTATTAATGGTTTTGATCGTTACATCAGTCAGGTAAAATGACTAAAAAATTACAAAGGCTACTCAAAAGGGAATATGTAAGCAATGTATTTGATAGGCACATTCGCTTTTAGCCATTGATGTAGCTATTCAAAGGGTTAAATTTGCTGACTGCAAACTACGTCTCTATTTAACGAGGATTATGTCATTGAAGGTCTACGCATAGCTTAGGCTCATATCAAAGCTTGTTTCAATATGATTCCTAAATTTTTCGTCTACCAAAAGCTACTTGATTGACATATTTATGTAGTATTCAAAATATTATGCTGAATGGAAGTCAGAGCTTCATAATGGGGAATGAATGAATCAGTGAATAGTCAAGTGAGCATGTCAGCTTCAGATTCAATGAAGTAATATTTGCAATAGCAGGCTTAATTATTTTGAAAATATTACAAATTATAAAGTATTGACAGATAACAGTTTTTAAAACATTTTATTAAATCTATCAAATGGAATTAAAAAATAGCACAAAGTGTAAATTGGAGTACAATAATTTATGGAACACATTTTTTTTTTTCCAAACAATGAGAGGTCACAAGAGTATAAGAGCTATTAGAAAAGAAACCACCAGAGTACCTACAAAAAAGTCTCTCCAGAAAAAGGCTACATGTAGCCTTTGTATGTTTTTTCTTTGTAACCTTTGTGACAACTTTCTAAGACTTACTTAGATTTGTTTTGTTTCTTTGTAATTTTTTTTCCAGATGCACAATTAATTAATTATACATCAATTAATATATTTTGAAGCATTATTGAACGTATAAAAATATAATTATTTAACATTGAGTTAACTATCTTAGTCATTGGGATAAAATTTAATCTATCTGTTGATGAATAAAACCGTGATAACATTGAATTTGCATCTAAGGATCCAGATTATACTGATCAACTGGCTTCTCAACTATTAAAAATATTTTCCTTTAAGATTACTAATTAAAATTCATCAGAGTAGACTCTTCAATTATATCCATTAGACTCTTTAAAAATTATTTAACAAATTAACTGAAGTGATAATATTATACAACAATGATACTTGTTACTTTTTTCATTGTATCTGATAAAATTAGCAACCAAGTTTTCAACAGTAATATTGCTAAATACTTTCTGTAACTATTCTGTAAAGCATTGCAACTTTTTAGAAAAATAATAACTATGAGCGAACAGGTTCGTTGGGGTGGAAATAATTAATTATAAAAGCCTTTTCTCATAAAATCATTTAAACTTTATCATTCACTTTTAAAAAAGAATCTAACAATATTTCTTTCAATTGTTATTACAGAAAAAACTTCAATACTGCTTGTAAAGTTTTTTATAAAAATTTTAAAAGAATATTCTTCCATTGTCAGTTGAATTCAAGATTGATTTATTATCAGAACACTTTGGGAAGTATTAATTGATTGAGCTTTAGTTTTTTAAAAATACTTTAATTGCTGTGACTATTCAGTAACTGAATATAAAATCATCAAGTACATATTTAATTCATAACCGTAATAAATAACATAAAATTGATCGCAAAACTGGTGATGACACTACCGTATGGTTGCATACATCAATTGTAAGTAATATAAAAACTCTATTGTTTGTCGAATAATTTTTTACATGATCATGGAAGCCCCTTTTTAGCATATTTATGATAGCTATTTACCATTCAGTGATTTAAAAGCTGTTTTATAATATTTTAATGATATCACATCAGCTCGATTAATATTTTATGACGATATATAAAAATATTTTATTCCAAATATCACAAAACTACTGAGGCGAACCAGTAAAAATATCTCAATCATAAAATTTAATACTTTTTCAATTGATTCGAAACTTGCTCTTGTCCTATCACGATGTTTGATTTTTCTAAAGCGCTTTGGTGGACGAAGAAAATATTTTACAACCAGCAGTTGATGGTATCGATTCGTTGAGTAAACCTGCTTCAAGGTAAACTCACGAGACGTGCACACATTGGAGCTTTCATGCACATTTAAGTTTCAATGATAATGTTGAAAAGGAATTTCAATAAAATACTAGTTCTTGTAAAGCTTTTAGAGAATTTGAATATTTTAAAATTTTGAGATAAATATACATTAAATCTGTTGGCTACAGAAATTTTAATTATTGCTGCTGTATCGAAGAGTTGAAAATGGTTGACTTTTATGAATATTTTTTAATATATCCTTTGATAAGGCAAAGAACTATACTTTTGTGTTGTGTATTATTTTCTCAAAGCTTCTTGATCAATATTCGTTACATAGGTCGACAATATTCTCCTTTGGAAACGATATTGTGCTTTACAATAACCGACTTTGATAGATATTTATATGTCGGCATTGTTATTTCATGTTAAACTACAGTTCAATGTACTTAAAAATATGTCATGACTAGTTTTTAAGGTTTTTTTTTTATAATTTAAAAAATTAAAAATAAAAATATTGATTTTTTCTTGTTTCTAAAAATGTTTGAAAACATTAAAATATAATTACTTTTGCAAATAATTGACGTATTGTGGATAAATGAAATTTTTTGAGCTTAAATAAATGATAATATAGAATGTATGGAAGCAGATAAACTTTTAATACGAGTTAAATGAATACAAAGTATGAGAAATATTTTAAAAAGATTTAATTACAATAGAAAAACATTAAAAAGCAGAATTTTTGTTCATAAACATTGCTATTATTACTATCAAACAAAAGTTGGAAAGTTATTTTTAAATGTTTTTTAAAAATAAATTTTTTTTTCCTATAGATATTGGATATCCTTTTTAATCAATAAGAATTTATAGTCATGTCACAGAACATTAAATACCATTGTAGAAGTCTTGGTCGAGGGAAATAATTTCTAATCTTCAAAAATAAATAGATACAGCATAATAATAAAAAGTTATTCTGGGCGTTGGAATATTAATAAAGAAAAAACAAGCTCTAAAGCCTAAAATATGAGATAACTATGGATTATTACTTCTTTTTTTTTGCTAAAAAAGAAAAAATGTTTCCATTGCAAAGCCAGACAATATTCAAAGGAAAGAATAAATTATTACTGACACAAAATATAGTTTTTTGAATGACAAACAATAACTTTTATTATTCAAGTTGTCTTATATAAAACTTTCAAAGAATATTCCAGACAAAAATGTGTCAACATATAGTCTAGATACTCTCAGGAAAATTACAAAAAATTTTTTTATTCAAAAATCTAACTTGATTTGCCTTTATTAAACCACTTTTACATAGCTTTCAACTTTCGTCGTTCTTTTGGTATTTTTTATTTCTGTCAAACCATAAAAGCATTACGATTTCAAGTGAATATCATGATTTTCATTGACATTCAGCTTAAGTGCACGTAAATGGAACTATCGAACTGAAAGTCAAACGACAGCCGAGAGTTGAATGAATTGAAATTTTCTTAAAGAACAATTTATTCACTTTTAATATTAGATATTCTACTTTTTGATATTATGAACAATTTTTATTAGAAGCAATTCGACAACTGCCAAGTAAACTACTGCCAAGATAGAAAAAAAAACATGTGAATAAAAAAAATATAATAAAAAATAAGTAAATAAATAAATGAATCGTTTCAGTGATAAACAAGTAAACAATAATAAATGTTTTATTATTTTTTGAAGTGCATTAAAAGTGGAAGGATGAAATATAGTGAAAGTCAATAATAAAAATAATTGAAAAACAAGTACTGTAGAGGCAGTGATCATAAAGAAAGTATATCATCCAGTGAAATAGAACTGAGTATCCAGGGAGTAGTTTTGGAGATTGATTGGTGATGTATCGCAACGACGCGATTGCCATCGATGACTGGGATTTAACGAGCATGAAGCATCCTTCGAGTGTGTTTATCTTGGAGGTTGCTATGGCACTGTTTGGTATGTTTTGGATGTCACGCGTACGTTCTGAGATACGTCGTTGTTCAAAATATCGACATGATGAAATGTCAAATAATCAACATCAGAGTCATCAACAATCTTATCAACAAGACAATCCATGTCGGAGACTATCTCAAGGTACAAGTTTACTTCATACACCAGATGATGGAATCACTATGTCTTCAGCAAACACTTTGTTTACTTTGGATACTCCTGGAACAACTGCACCCAGTGGTTATTGCGAAGTTCACGGATATATCGCCCCTAAAAAAGGTATAAAGTTTTTGCCTTTATGTATTTTATGCGTTGGAGTTGATCAACCTTGGTTGAGAAATAAAATTTATTTTACCAGAAATTGAAAATTTTCAAACACACTTTTTTCTTAAGTTTTGTTGATAACTTTGTTGAATTTGTTTTTGTTTACCTTTCTGTAGATGTTCTGATTTCACCATGAACGCATTGGGAATTTTATAGATTTCAGGAGTCAGATTTAAAACTTGTCATCCTAGATACTTTTCATGTTTTTCTTAGAAAGTCATAATAATATTATGAATGGATGTGACTTAAATTTTGCAACACGATATCGGGTATAGTGACTAGCAAAAGAGATTTTGATTTGAAATATTTTTTAACTTAACTGGAAATTGATTAGATTCTAAACTTGATATGTTAAACAGTTTAGAATTAAATTTAAGCGGACTTGGTATCAGAAATAAATCACAACTTTTAGTTGGAATCGAAATAAGGTAAAAAAAAGATTCATGTTCGATTGAAACAAGAATTTTCTAATTAAATTAAATAGCAAGATGTTTTGTTCAAGCTATGATAAGAGAAGTTGTTCTAAAGGTTGGAATTTAATATAAATATGGTAAAGCTGAAATAAAGAAATAATTTCCAAAAGGTCTACTAAATTTTCTTTCATTATAGCATATATTTACATATATATATTAAAAAAAAAAATTAATTTATAGAAAATTAATAACCATATTGAAACTATTCATACAATCATTCATAATTGAATTTACTAAATGTACAAAAAACTGATTAATTTTATTATAGCAATTTTCTTTGAAATAACGACTACTTTATGCTATTATCATTTCATCAAATTATTCTGTAAAATCATAAAACGTGGAATTTACATAATGTACTTTATTATTGTTTCAAATTATTTCCATGATTATATAAAATACATCAAAGTAGCTTTCGAAATGAAGAGTATTTGTACTAACAAATAAATAAATTACCTTCTAAATTTGATTTACAAAAGTCAAAGTATTCTGTTCTTCCTCATTATTAAAACAATTAACTTAAATAATAATCTACATTGAAATAATATTTTGATACTGAATGCAGAATAATTCAACAAATTTAAAAAGTCTTTACAGAATACAGTGAATCATAAGTTATGCTTGTTCTGGATAGAATTCAATACAATGATTGGCTATGTTGTTTGTATAAAAAAAATGAAATCCGACAGTTAATCGAGCTTAAAGTATATATAAAGTATATTGTGTTGAAAAATAATACCCGCTGTTTTTTCCAGAAAATCTAGAAAATACCATAAAAGTAAAATTGAAATGATTCATAAAAATTTATGACTTTCCGCAGAAACGTGAAGATCCAACTCACAAAATTGTTCAATGTTAAAAAGGTTAATTTCTTTAGTTTAATAAAGCTGATAACTGTCATATTTTTCACGAAGGTCCATTTGCTATGTCACAACATCAACAAGGATGGATAAAATTAGAGTACAGAGTGTTGAGAATAAATTTAGTAAAAACTTGGAATGTTAATACAGTCGGGAATGAACTTTTTTCTAAACTAAGTTGTAATGAGTACGAGATAAATTTATCTTTTTCGCATTATTAAAGAACTAATTTGTAGAGTCATTTATTAGCAACAAGACCCATTGGAATTCTTAGTAAAGGGATTAAATTATGTAGCAGTTTTATTGTACCTACCTTATGAAAGCAATATTTTTTATAACTTTATAAAGTCATAATAAGAATATTAATAATTACATCTTTTTGTCTAGTGAAATCATCTTTACAGTTTGTGTTGTCTGAAATATAAAACTTCTTCCTCACACCATTTAATATGCCATTAATTAGAGTTAAGTGAAAGTATCTACTCTATTCTATTCTCGAAATTTGAATATTTTAGTTGAAAAAAAAATTAGCAGTAATTGAGCCTCATCCTTACTTAAACTCATGTTAACATAAGCATTATTAAGAATAATTGCCAATTGTCTGCCGAGGAAAATGTCTAAAATATTTAAAGAAATATAAAACTCTGGCACAGTGCCAGATATGCTTTTAGGGTTGGATACTTGCCCTTAGATAATTAATCTTTAATAGAGCAGTAGTTCAATCAAGTTAATCTCCATTGTCTTTTAACAGCACTAATCTTTACTCGTTAAGTCGATAGTTTAGCTTTTGTGTTTTTGTTATCTCAATAAAAACTGTTGATATTTCTGAGTTTCAAAGTACCCAAAAAAGACAGTGCTTGAAAAAATTTTCAATAAGTTTCTAGATCAATTTTATTTAAAATTCAAAATATTTGAAAAATTGATTTTATTTTTAATTAAAATCTCTCTACACTGAGGTTAATATAATCCATTTACTTCTCAAATATTTTTCTAATAAACCGTTGGTGAATTTCATGAGTGTAAACAGCATAGATGTATTACACATGCCGGTATCGACACACTTTATCATACACTTAAAGAAGCATCTCCATATTTCCTCTTCAATAACATACGCTACAGCTGATGTGGTTTAACAAGATGTTGGCTTAACTTCCAAAACTTCAAGTTATTAAGCGAGTAAACAATAAATCTTTAATTAATACATAACGAAGCTTCTCACACAAAATTTAATCATCTATTTGGTTTATCATCACGTCTTTGTAACATCTGCAAATATGGATTACTAAAGTAATTATAAATATAATTCTATCCAATTATTTAGTTCATTCTTTTCTTAAAAACAAAAAACGTATTCTGCTGTTTAAATTTAGAGTGATAACAGAGACATTGAAGTTGTAATAAGTTTTTCAAGAAGCTTCCAAGAACAAAGTCATAATTTCATGTTAAAAGGATTATTTAGAACTGAACGTCTGACCTTGATTACCAACTTTCTCCCAAAACATAACTTGTAAGCTTGGTAATGATGGTTTTCTTCATTAACACAGTATTACAATGTGCATATTTCTAGTCTTACATGTACACAAATAATAAATACAGGTACATAAACACGTATATAGTTGACAAGTAAAATCAACTTTGGCCAACTTCCTTATTATTCCTAAGCAAAACTTGTCTGTTTCATTCCACTCACTTCCTTTCCTTTATAATAACTACACTTACTTTTCTCACTTGACTGTTTTGATTATATTATACACAGTAAATAGACAACGCACGATTGTCAAAGTTATATTTAGTTTGTTACATTTGTTACATGGAAAACAAAACACTATATGTGTTTATCCAATATTTTTGACGAGTTCACTTGACATCTTCTGCATGTGAATAATGTGCATATAATTTTAGTCCAACAATTCGGTGAGTCAAGCTAGGAACTTCAGTTGAAAGAATAACAATTCATTATTTTTTTTTTTCTTTAATTACAGTAAAAGAAAAATCAACAAATTAGATTATTACAGGCAGTCATGATGTTGAAATTAGTAGTATAACGTAAATATAGTCAGCCATGATTTATATTAGATCAAAGGGATGTCAACTTGATTAAAAATGTTGAACTAAAAAATCTTGACGAAGAAATATTATCAAAAGTTAAAGATACGACAATTACAAACGATTTAAATTTTATGTTTATTTGATAAAAAAATTTAATGTCGATACATGTAAATGTTCAATGTAATAAAACGATGAGTTTATTTAAAGAATATTTTTAAAATAAAATTAGTTTTTAATTTAACTTTATTACATGAAAAATATTTGTATCAAGTTGAAGGAAAAAGAAAGTCGCAAGATGGTAAATAGATACAAGTTTTGAGATAACAAAAAAGCAATGAGCTGAAAAATTTAATCATTAAAGAAAGTGAACAAATTTTAAGAAAAGACGTTTAGAAGTTAATATTGTATGCAAAAGCGAGAAAGCCACAAAAATTCACCGCACGCAGTGCTTTTCCGTATTCCAGTCGAAGACCCGGTGGTCACCTATGTGCCCGACCTAGTTGTAAAATAGTCTTTCTATACCCACCACAAGAAGCTAAAAGTAAACCTACAGTATCGTACTTTAAAGCTAAAAGCATGTTCATGTCGACTTGTTCTCGACGTTGTGACATTGCTCACGAGTTTATTACATACCACTAACTGTGGTGACCTGTTTTAGAACAAGAAAAGTCACCTTTGTCACTTACCAAATTTTTCCTTTGTTGTTTTCCTTGATTCCACTAGTTGTTTTATTATTCAAACTTGTGTAGCGTATAAATTTCAAATTACAATTTCTTTTTCTTTCGGTGATGTTTTTTTATTATTCGGAATTTTATTTATCAACATATCAATAAATAATTTTTCCAAAGTCATGAATTCTTAATAAATTTTTTTCACACATTTCCACAAAAGTTTCACAATAGAATCCAATCGATATACAAGTACACAATAAACAGCCTCATTAAAAGTAAATAATACGTTAATTGCAAGCTTTCAATAAATTTTTTTTTATTGATTATATATTCATTATTAAAACTGTAAAAAAAAAATACGATTTTTCGTAACTATTATTGAAAAATTGTGAATATTTTATAAAACAAAAACCAATAAATGAAAAAAAATGGAGGAATTATTCCTCATTGATATTATTTCAGTTAATAATTTCGTAGTAATCAAATCCTTCATTAATTAAAGAAACATTCAATTATTAAATAATCACAGAGCTTTGATCTTTACTAAAAAGAATAATGAATTAAGTGCTACATTATGATATATTTATCGATATTTAAATAATTTATAATTAAAACAAATTCTGACAACCATTCTATCAACTATTTATGAATTACAAAGTCCATGTTAATTTATTAAAACTCAAACATTTGTGAATTGCAAGTTACATTGATAAAAAAGATATTACACTATAAAAACATTATTCATACCCACACGGAAATCCAATGTATCCATAATGTATCTGGGAGATACATGAAATATATCCAAAATATATCCAAGATATATCCAGATACAAAAAAAATGTATGCGGGATATATTTGGGATATTATACTTTTGGTCGATTTTTATATATCCGGAATATATCCCGTTTATATTCCACTAATAAAAAAGACATATTTAAGATACTTACAGAATATAATTTATATATATCTATATAAATTTTCGAAATGAAAAAAAAAACTTTAAAAATTTGAAGAAAAGAAAAACTTGTTTTTATTAATTCAATTTATAAATGAAAACAAATATAAAATAATTTAAACAACAATAACGGCGCACAGAAGGTCTTATTGCTGGCTTCTTTTTGTTATAATAAAAAAAAAATTTGTTGTAATTTGTTTAAATTTTTTTTCAAATCTTCTTTCTTACATCATCTTTGGAGAACATTCGTCCAAAGTCGATCTTTTTATCTATTTTGGAAATTTTTTTTATGTCATCATTTAGGGGATAAAAAACACCGACTCCCCATAGGGAACCTCCCAAAATTTCGTTATTTTTGCTCTATTTCTTACCGTTTTCAAGACATAAACGATTTTAACAGTTGTATGATTTATTTCCTTATAGCAAGGCAAAAAGAATTGGAAGATTATATAAAAAAATTAACGTTGAAACCATCACCAAAATTTATTGTTTCAAACAAAAATGATTCTCATTCAAAACCCAAATCGAAACGAAGATCACGTTCTCGATCAAGATCTCATCATCACTCTAAACATAAAAGAGTTTCATCACCTTACAGTTCCTCAAGAAGCCATAAGAGGCATGAACACTTAAAATCACACTGTTATCAAACAGCCCGCCGTTCTCCACCGTCTCATAGAAATTCTATAGTGAGATAATGACTGACATACTATAGAATTTCTAATTTTTTATTGTAGAGACAGTCAATTAATCAGTGATGCAGTTAATATTTTTCAGTTTTTACATGTGATGTAAAAGAGTAGAAATAAATACTGGACGTTTGTTAATGAGAAACTTTGATGATAAATATGGAGCTCATGATAAATGGTTGGCATCATAACCTCAGTATACATAGACGACTCTCCAGCTATTTATCTTATTCTTGAAAATGTCAGTGGTTCAATTTGCAATTTTTAGTTCTCTTTGTTTATTATTTTCTGCAACAAAAAAAGACAATCTCAACTAATAATGTACATCTCAGTTCAGCAGTGTACAAAAAAAGAATGATAAGAATGGATGAAAAAGTTTTAGATTGATAAAAAAAAAAAGAATAGAAAAAACACAAATGCAAAATAAAATTTTAAAAAAGCTTTCATTAATTCCATTATTTAAATATACTAAAAATTCGTTATCATCAACTGCAGACTACATAACGAGCATACGTCCAATCTCATTCAAAAACGAATATTCGAAACGTACCTCACAGCATCGTCCTGTTTTTGTAGTAAAAATTAATTAAATTATACAACTAATAATGTCCGTTTAAAAGAGATAAAATAACGTGCATTGTTCAGATGAACGTAGATGTATACAAAAGGATTCTTTTTTAGCAGAATCACATAAACATTCAGTTAATTTTATTCCAGTTACTACTCAAAATTTTATTTTGAATACAATTGAGTTATTTGAATATTTGTATTTTTTTAAGAACTTTGGAAATCTAAAATAATATTATAATAGTTTTGACTTTATAATTAATATTTAAAATTAGTAATACATGTCCACTTTGATTTTAATTGATAATATTTTATTTTAATCGCTGAAATTTTTTTCAATTTGAAACATTTTAAATAATATATTGATCGTATAAATCATCAAGATTTGATTTCAACGAGAGAAAAATTAGAAGAGAAAAATCATCTTTTTGTAGAATTTATTTTTTATTTCATTAAGATAAAACGTCAAGAAAAGCTCAAAATAATTATAATATTTCAGCATTAGTATTATTCTTTGCTGTTATAAAAGTCAGAAACTTATTCGATATGACTTTTTAATTCATCGGAGTTATGTATGCGATAAGAATATTAACTGCCATAAACCCACGTTCTGCACAACTTTTCTGGGTAATTTTTAAACTACTACACTGGCACTGGGTTTTACATAGCACGTTGATGGTATATATGTACGTTTACATTCACACACTCATCGTATGAATGATAAAACTGCTAGCATGACCATATATACTTCCTATTCTAGTTTTTAATTCTCCAATGTGGAGACGGAGTTTAAATTTTATGAAGTCGTCAGAATTGATGCCTTTTAAAAGAAAGAACAAAAAGAAATCTGTTTACACCCGTTATTTAACACTTTATGAACTCTTAATTATTTCCTTTACGATGTCCGGTCATTTCATATTTAAAATTGAATATTTGATGCGTTATTTTCTTTTTTTTTATTTATACATTAAAGTAGATAGACTGAGAGTGGACGTTTTATTAACCGCTGCTAAGCAGTGGTAATATTAAGCTTTGCTTCATCCCTATCCTACAGGTATTCCTCTAAAACTCTCTTACTTTAAGCAGCGGACATAGGTGGAACCATAAGGAAATGGAGAAAGTTCTCTAGTGGAAGGTCCACTTCACTCAAATGCTACGAGAGTTCTAGAACACAATTCTTCACTTCATAATGATTGAGCAATAACTATGTTGGTTAGAAAATGTTTCATAGAACTCTTATACACGAAGAAAAATTTCATAGAAAAATTCTCATGCTCGTCACTATAAAACAAGTGCAACTGCCGAGAAATGAAAGTTTTCTAAAACAAATCAGGAAAAACTTTATTGACAAATAGTAATTTTTAATAGAAGCATTTGAATTTATATGAGAGAGCGTAGGACAAATTGTAAAAGAGCATAAGAGAAATTGTAACACAGCATAGGAAAAATTTCATAGCATCCTCGTTTGTAAGAGATTCTCAATATTTTTCTAATGGGATAGAATAAAAATTACTTGAAATCTAATATATTTTATAATGTGGCATTACATGGGAATTTTTCCTCTGCACTTTGGTAATTGGCCGCCACATGTATCAGATATGTGATCGGTCCTATGTAAATAAACACAAAAAAAAGAGCTGGACAACATTCGTGCATTTCTGCTATTTTTCGAGACGTGTTAGGACAGAAACAAATAAAATTTCGTTTAATAATAAAAGAGTAGCTACAAGTATAAACAACAAAAAACAAATTCATTTTATCAATAATTATATAAAAAACATCAATATAACTTTCTTTATATATTTTACATCATTGTTTATCTGACATTAGTAAATTATACAATAAAATATTAACCAAAAATACTTGAATAAACCGAGTTGTATGGAAATAATATTTCCTAAACCTAGTTTGCACAATACGGGATATATATAAGTATTTCATAGAAAATGTTAGTAAATAACTTAGAGTTTGAAACTGTATACACACATCCTTATTATGCACATAAGCTGCTCAAAGTTGCATACGTATGTATTACCATCTACTCAAAAGTTTAATGCAAATAAATTTTATCCTTTAACAGAAAGAGGACATACTTAAAACTCTTGAGAATCACCAACGTAAAAGGAATGTCATATAATTAAAAAAAATTTATTTACAAAAGAGTCATTGAGAGACCTCTTAAATCCCTGGATATTTATTTGGATCTTGAAGGAATGGCATAAACTGCTGTGTTTGCAGAATAGTTTCACTGGGAAAGAAATTACGATTTTCCATGACCCAGAGAGACCTGCAGTAGACACATCTTGGATGATATATGTTTTCCCTGCAATCCACACGTGGCTCACGTTTATGAGGATTACTTTAGTTCCAAAGTCAGTTTAAGCTGTTAAAAAATAATATATCCTCCTATTCATAATGAAAACATTTTTTAACCTTGCTCATAGTGACATTGTTCAAGTCTGATATCAAGAATTTATTTAACTGTTACAGATATCCAGGAGTTTTACGAGCTGACGCTGCTTGATGAATCAAAGTCAGTGCAGCAGAAAACAGTAGAAACAATGCGCATTGCTGATAAATGGGAAGCTAGTGATGGACCAATTACTCCAACATTTACATCAAACGACGTGAGTACAAACCTTTTTTTTTATTTATTTATTAGCAACAGTTACACAACAGCAAATAGATAAATTAAACTGCAGTTGAAGTGTTACGTAATAATATAAAACAGTTTACTGTGGATTTGGATAACTCTCTTAAATGACGTAACATATTTTGATACACCAAACGGCTGAGTCTGGACTAGTAAGAGCATGATACATAATTAGAGAGAATAATAACGTCACAAATGCTCTGATAATATTATCACATATGTGGAATCACTAAATATAGTCAGTTAATAATTTGTGATTCACTCTATTTAACTCATGTTCTCGACTGTACAATTTTCATGATCAATTAATTCACTTTGTCATTGTTAAAAGCAACCTGAAATTCGATCATCAATTAGAATAATTCAAGGATTAGGAAAAAAATAAACTTGTTTTATTTATTTTTGTTGATAAATTGATTTATGTGTATTTGATATATTTTATTTATTATAATTGAGTTTCAAATACTGGAGCTTTTAAAGCTATGTTTAATGATTATTGTCATTGAGTTGATTACTAGAGAATTGAATTGTTACATTTAATATTTTATAAAGTTGGGATATACTTAGAGATATTTTTGAAGATTAAAATTATGAATGAAGAAAGGAACATTCTCTTGATTATACTTAAAATACTCTAGTGTGATTGCAAAGGATGTAGTGATCACAGGAAATGCATCAACATTATTGTTAAAATTTCTTTTGATATTTATTCTCGATATTTATTTATGAAAAATTTGTAAAATTGTAGGTAAAAATAGAAATTATTTTGCAGCAGCAATCAATAATTTTAAAATGAATTTCTTGATTTACTGGCCAGTAAATGAATGATTTTTATCTCGCGTGTGATCATTGCATTGTTGAAAAAGATAAAAAGTATTTTCCAATAACTTTCATGTTATTTACAAAAAGAAAATTATGTATTAACTTTTTAAATTCTATAGATTTTTTGAATGATTAAAATATTTATGATTATGTCAGATAATATTTCATATTTATTTGAAAGTTGAATGCATTAATGAATTTAATGAATAATAGAGTGCACTGCAAGCACATTTATGCCATGCTAGTGTTATTTATTAACTCATTAACGCTCATGGCCATCTCAACGACAGAAGAATTGTTAGAGCTTTGTGGTTACTTTGCGTGTGGGACAAATAAAAATTCTCATGAAAGAAAATTATTTTTTTTATTAAAAAATTTAACTTTTTTAAGTGATGTAATTCAAAGTTAGCTCTTGGGTCATTTTTTAAAATTATTCTTTAAATTTACAAATGTAAAAAAAAATATATTTATGTTCTCTATAATATTTTATTAGAATTCCACAATGCATCAAAAGCTCCAATAAAAATTAATATCACTACTAAATCATGAAATTTATCATTTTTTCTTTACTGCAAGAATTTTGACAAAATTAAAATACATTACTTCAAATTATGAACAGATTCATTTCTCAGTACCATAGGATAAACTTTTGAGTTAACAATGAAATATAAAGCTTGTTTTTTGTTATTGTTAGGGGGACAATTATCAAAGTAAAACTGTATTTGTATTACAAAGTGTAGTGGTTGGCATGGCTATTATGAAACAGAAAAGGAAAACAAGAGTACAAGCTAAAACACGATGCTTTGGCAATGACGCACACTCAAGAGCGGGAGATGGTAATGTCGAGTTAAGAGCTCTTGTACTGCTTCTCGTGGTCAGAAAGATAACGCAGAGCGGCTGTTATGAAATGGCCGTATACATACGGTGCATATGTACTTTCTCTGAAGGGCAAAACCCTCAGAGCAAATACTCACGTTGCAATTCGTACCGTTGCACATCAGAGTAATGCGGGTATGATGTGGTTGTACCGACATTCTAGGCAAGTCTTTGATTAAACGAACGCGCGTTAGTGCTTCCGTTACGTAGGGTGCGGTTGAAATCTAAACCAGTGTGACATGAGCTATTCACTTATCTCACTGTCCTAAATATACATATATCTTTTGGTATTCACTTTTGAAGGAACATACTATGTTTAATATTGCACTATTAAATGGTTAGAAACATTTTCAAGAAGTAATGAAATTCCTCTGGTATTCGTGATATTAATTATTTAAGCACAATCTCTATAAAATTTTACAACTAAATAATCGTATTTAAAGTTCTATACTGGTTTATTGAAGTTTTATGAAGCTCTTGTTGCTTCTAATATTACTTTGATGAGTTGAAAAATAAAGAGACATTAATTATAAACGATTCGGTGATTTTTTTTCTCATCATTCTTCACTCATATTATTCAAAATTAAGGAACAAAGGAGTAAAATTTTTTTGCTTTTTTATTTTTTTTTTTTTAAGGAAAAAATAAATTTTAATGAGCAAGTGCAAAAAAGCTTTGTCTTTCATCTGGATATTTTTTTGGATGAAGTTAGCATTATTAATTTATATATGTTATTAAAATTTTATAAAATTAATTTAATATTGATAATTGCTGGGAAACGTTTTTTGTTTAGTAAAAATTGTATTTTTTAATCTTCATGATACCTTAATAGAGAAATTTATTTGAAAATAAAATATATCAAATAGCCAGTATAATTATTTTCGTGAATGTAATATTGTTGTACTCTGTTATTGTTCTATTGAAGTTAGAAATGAAAAGTCTGTACCGGAATATTATATTCCTTTATTTAAAAACTTTAAATGCCGGTTTCAATCAACATGATTTCATTTCTATTCTAGCATAGTGTATTACATTGAAGATAATATGCATTTCATCTATTATATTTATAATGATATTCAGAATTGTTGTGTAAAATCATATTCTGACAAATTTTGGGTGATTCACAAACAATATCTATATACTCTTTTTCTGTTCAAGTGTTTTTATATACATCAGAAATCATACAAGTATTTCATCAGATTTTGAAAATTTGATCCTCTTTCGTAAACTTTATCTTCCAACAATCATTTCATCTTTTAGGTTAAACTATTTTTTTCTCTGCTAGCTTATTTCGAATGTTCGCTATCAAATAATTTCGAAATTCAAAGAGGTAACATGAGAGAATCCTTGACGAATTTCTGTACGAAATAATACTCAATAACTTTTTTTTAGACCTGAGTTTAAATTATCTCTTGAGTCTCAAGTAAATTTGACAAATCATTTTTTTATTTTTGTGTGTGTTTAATATGGAATTGTAATAAACTAACTAGAGAATTATACATTTCAAGAAGAATTAAATATTACTAGAGAAGAAGACAGGATTATGGTCCAATCAATAATATAGTTCATTCGTTTATTTTGCGAGCACATTGCTTCTTCCATCAGCTAACCTTCAAATATATTGGAAAAAAACTTATTCGTAGTAAACAGAAAATATGAGAAGTGATGATTGGTCATAATTTAATTGTCCGTATAAAAAAAGTTCGTTTCCTAAAGGTTCCTCGACGTTTCCTTCGTGGGACTATGGGGAAACTCTCATAGTTTCTGAGTTATGAGCGTTTAAAGGTTTTTTTATATTTTGCTGCAGCACAACTTAGTTTTCTGCTAATAACTCAAGATCTATGAGGCCTATATAGACAATGAACATATTAATGGATTTGTGAGAACGAGATCTTTTTATTGCACTAGTTAAAATCATAATTGGAACATAATTTATGCTAAAATTAAAGCAAGTTTCCGTTTTACCCCATTTTTAAAGTGAAATAATTGATTATTAAGAGTGAAATGAATTTTTTAAACGTTTTTCATGGATATGTATGTTTAGCTTAGATTCTAAAGTTTCCAAATACCTTCTTACAATCATCGTCCGATCATTTTTCCACGAATGGAGATGCGAAGTCGAAAAGTAGATGATTTTCCGACCCTTACATCGACTTTGGACCTACGTAACACTTATACAAGTAATCTAATAATGATTGTATGAGTAAAATATGATTTAGTAAAAACAAAATGTGATCCATGATCCTAGCTTTTTCACTGATATTACTACCTCTTTACTACATTTATAAAGGAGTTAATTAAAGTCGAAAAGAGAAAATAGTACTAGAGCCATTTAGTAATTATTTATGTAATAAGTACTCTATGGTAGTAATTTCGTAATAACATTTCGGTACATCATAAAAAAGGTTCATTTATAATATGGCTATATTTCATTCCTATTCGGGTATGCGAGTCTATTTGTCTCAAATGATTTAGTATAGGCACATTTTATTCTAGTAAATAAAAACCACACGTCTGAAAACTTCATTTTCGATTATTCTCATTATTATGATAAAACATTACTTGAACAACAAATATATTCTTATCAGGAAAGTAATGAAAATGTAATGTCCTCATATTTTTATTTTATGTATCGTTTATGTGATATTTCTATGACTGAAGATTCATACATCTATCTATAATACTATAAATATGACATTAATACGAGTAAGCATTTCGAAAAGATATATTCTGCAAAAGACTCATGTAATTTAATAGACATATCCATGAATTATTACAGAGAGGAGGACAAAAATAATCCTTCGATTCTCCAGTGAATTGAATTTCTATCCAAATGAATCAAAGATAACCCAGACAATTCTTCGTCCGCTTTATCAGTATTCGCAATAATTTAACACAACGAATCAATTCTTAAGTCAGTTGATAAGAAAGGAATAAATTTGTATAGATAACAGTATGTAATCAGGAATAATCTATTTATCTACAACTAAGATAAGGAAATTACCATTTCATTTCCATTTTAATCATTGAAAGCAAAAAAAAAATTTTATAAATTTATTTTCATTTATTTTATAAACAATTTGGATAAATAATGGTCCAAAAATGATCCATTTTATTTGGTAAAAAATGAGTTTCATATTTTCAAAATCTTATTTAAATGTTAGTAAATATTAATAACACAATCATTCATTGTTGAAAATTGAGAATGACTCATTCCAGGTTTAATTTTGAGTCAATTACTAGATGTACCTTTTATTAGAAAATAATTAAAAATCTGC